TTGTTTTGCTGAATCTCGAGAGAGCCAGTGATGGTTCTTGAGGACGGACCCAGCTTTTGTCATTGCGTGATTTGCTAACGTTTTAGGTCGTCAGCTGGAGGATGACGATGAGGTCGAGCCGTATTCGACTCTTCATCTTTCGCTCAGGTATAGCACTTTTACTCTCCTTCATATGAGAGAAGTAGTGGTGTCATAGTGCATCACCATCATAATATGACTCTGGCAATGATGAACACTCTAATTTTATGGTGTCCAGGCCTCTGAGAGTATCATGACTGTATTTGAGTGAGTAACCTGAGCTAGAGTCAGTACAAAATCGATCTAATTCATGGGTGCGGTCATTTACGATTTTTGATTTCAGATTACTCGGAGGTGCCAAGAAGAGAAAGAAGAAGGTCTACACTACTCCCAAAAAGATCAAGCATAAGAGAAAGAAGGTCAAGCTTGCTGTTCTGAAGTACTATGAGGTAGGAAACGTATTATGTTGAAAAGGTTTTCTAGCAATGAAGATCAAGTTTATCTGGTGTCCAGGCCTCTGAGAGTTTCATGACTGTTATTATGAGTATCTGAGCTAGCCGTACGCAGTTTGAAATTTGCATTTTACCGCTAGTTTGGTGCCTACATGTTACCTTTTAGGTCGATGAGAATGGAAAAATCAGACGTCTTCGTAAGGAATGTCAGTCTCCCACTTGCGGAGGAGGAGTCTTCATGGCTGCTCACGAGAACAGATATTACTGTGGACGGTGTCATGATACTCTTGTTGTTGAAGAACCCGTTGTTTCATCTAAAGGCAAAGGTGGCAAGAAGAAGTAATTGTTGTTGTTGATAAATTTTGTTATATTTTGTGTTGTGTTTGCAGCAGCAGAATTCGTGTGGTGTTTCTTAGAAAGTATTTTGTTTACTATCTCTATCTAGTGTATAAAGTTTAAGAGATCTCAAATACTATAAGAATTACATAAATAGTTTACATATAAATCAGCAGAGTATATGGCATCCCAGTGTAGCATGAATCCCTGATGCATTGGTTAGGCTGAGTATATCGTATCCTGCATCTGTGAAAAGGTCTCACAAACTGAGTACTGTGCGCTCGTTTTGATAGCGTGATCTTCATAAATCGAGCTGAGTAGTGCAGGACAAATGATAAGCAACAATATGCTAAGTTCGCGAATTGCAAACAACGGGTTCCAGTACTGCATTAATCGCCGTTTTCTTCATTGTAGCTGTGAAATTTAGCCAAAACATCTACATTTTGTTTGGGTTTGCTGGCCGCAGTGGTGGAGTGCAAAAAAGCTGCGTAAAAACGCTTATAGTGTAATTGTTAAGCTATAGTGCAAGTTATGCATACATCAGTCTCACTGCATTTTATTTCCTTCCAAATTCATGCGGAATTGAATAGGTGCAAAGAGAAGTTTTATATTTTGAAGTTTAAGATAACTAGCTGGCAAACATCGCCTGGCCCTCAAAGGCAGTGTCCAGGCAAATTTGGGGGTATGG